TTTTTTTGTATTGTACCTCTTTGCCTCGAAATATGGTAATTATGTAACGATTTTCATCTCTTCAGCTTGCCAATGCCCCAGAACACAAACTGTGAGGGCCAGGGTCGACGTCGGCAAGGAGAAAGCACTTGTTCGCTGGACGGAGCCTAAACCAAAAGGATGCCCGATTAAGGAAAACCGATACAATCCAGGAACAACAGGAGAGTATTCCGGTGGGAATCACAAGGTGGTTTACGTTTACGAAACCGAAATCGAAGGTCAACCAAGTTTTGAGATCCGATGTCATGTGAACATTGTTGTCACAGGTATCTATAATGATGTCTTTTAAGTGTTTTTGGTTTGTATTTCCATGCAACGTCAATCTCGTTTTATATACGACCCAAAAATACCATTTGTATATTCACAACAACAGCAATAAAAATGGCGGGAAAATTTTTGAAACTCGTTATGTCACCTCTTAACGTGACATACGGAAATTACGTGCCCCTAGTCCCGGATTTAGTGGCGTATAAGTTCTACTAGTTCCCAGTAAAATACCCCCATCCATATAATAAAATTAACTATGTGCTTATATGTACTTTCGCTATTAATCTACACTGCAGTTAGATTATCAAGAGTCTAGTTAAGGCATTGTACACAGGCTCTACACACCGATTATTAAAAATTTTTATAATTTATACTTTAGGCGATTTTTGTGGTAAAACGGCCTACAATCCGGCCACTCATGTTTGCTGTGATGGCACACGTTATCCGAAGAGATCTGGTTACAGATGCTGTGGCAAGAAATATTACCATCCTTTTAAGAAGATATGCTGCAGGGATACCAGTCTCGTGTCTGTTGGCGAATACTGTCCTAAATACTGTCCTTGATGGAAGTAAAACACATTCACTTATAACTTTAATCTCGCTTTGAACTTTTTTACTTGCTTGGGTTCGTAGATGATAATATTTTGTTGCATTCAACATTGTAATGGTAACAAGTTATATAATATAATGTAACAAGGTAATAATATGGGTGTACCGTAGTATATTGGTGTTTAAATAAATCATACAGAAAATGTTATTTAGTCTGAGGTGTCTTGTTACCAGAGGGTGTTAAACATGCATTGGCTCTATGGTTTGCTTTTTATGTTAGTTGAATTCGACAAAATTGGACCGTAAAAACAGATTTTAATTGAACTCTGCTCTAAATTAAAAATATCCAATACTGGCCAGATATAATTCCAATAAAAGCGCATGTGCAGGCAAAATATGTAGTTAAAGAAGCCATGCACCATGCACGTGGTAGGCTACTTGTAGTTTCAGGAAGAGAAAGCCAAAAAAAAGTGAAACATGTTTTTATGCTTTGAATGCATTACGTATTTCGAAACTTTTTTTCATGTCAGATGTAATTTCGAGTATGCCTTGATTGCTATTTGATCATTAGCTTCAACATGAAAGGCTAACAGCAAGTGTATAGAGTTAACGATGACACAGCATTATATTAATGACGTTGTTTGAGTACATTTTGAAAAGCATAGACCGTGGCCATATTATAGTGACATACAGCACTCTAAAGCTATACATGCAGCTATAAGATTCAAGTAAAGTTTTTGTCAAAACAAGCGATTTAGTGTTCGTTTATGGCCTACATGCTGTGAATATCATCTTCTTAAAGTTGTCGTTCACCTTACGATTGTGAAATTAATGAGTAATTATAATTAGGTTTATACCCAACCAAATTTCGTGAATTAGGTCACATGTACATCCTGTATATCCCATACAAATTAATTTGAATAGATATACAAATCAGTTATACAAACACATATCTTTGCATATCTCTTCAAATCTTATTTATTGCATATTCATTTCAAAACTTGTTTCCAACACTGGAGGTCGTTTTCTAGTGAATATACAATTCTTCTTACTTAATTAAACATCGCTTACAAAGCGTTATAAGTGATTCAATTGCATATAATACCACAATCACAATGAATAATTTTCTGACTGAGCGACTTGTAGATCATCTGCCATACATTTAGGCTATTAGAATACCCTCAACATGTGTCAAACATAGCGTGATTAATATTTTATATCCCTAAATTAACTCGTGCGTGCAAGACGAATGTTGCGTGCGGCTTGAGAAAGAAAGGAATTAATGATAAGTGTTCATAATAACTTGGGCACAAGTATCATGTTATAGAAATTGTCGCTCGTATATTGGCGCAGTCTGGGTAATTTAACATACTATCAGTTTATATCACAATCATTTTTTGAGCCACATACAGATTATTAGCCATGCAGACGTTTACGCTATTAAATATCCTCAAATGTGCCTAATCAAAGTAGCATGATTTGCTAACGAGCAGGCTGATTTTGATTCTTTTAGATGTAGGTCCACATAAACTTCAGTAGCGCTAGCTGGCACAAGCAAATCCGATATAAATCCACTCTTTTTCATTAATTGATAATTGATACAGACTATACATGTTTGTACTGTAGGAATTCTATAGTACGTAATCGAATAGTAATTCACGTGCAATAAAAAGATATCTTTTCCGGCGAAATCGCTATAAATTAACTGACGTGTGTGCACGCTGGCAGAAGTATAAAGTTGGCACAAGTACAACCATTCAGGAAGGCATCCGCTAAATCTTTTGTTTGTTAAAAGTTTAGAAAATTTTGATTTCCGTTGTGATATTTGTAACTTGTAAGGACATCTATATACAAGGGCTCCTACTGTTGGTGCCATCTGTCAAATATATATATTTTCTAATTTGGGAAAGTGATTTTGTTTGTAAATTTATAGCCAAGACATTTATTGCGTATACGAATATAAGAGGGAAATTACGAAAGCGATCGCTACCTTAATATAGTTCATCTTTTAGTGATTAATATTAATGCAAGAGAAGATTTGTTAAATGAATAAATGTCACGAATCATAAATATCTTCCGCATTACAAAAGTATATCTTTTATCATTAGTGCTTTTGACATTATTCTATCCTTAGATCATAGGAAACAAACAACTAACCTTCACTAATATTTTCTAAATGATAAAAAAATTCAGATAACCTCGCCCTTCGGTATCAAACTACATATATAGCTAACCTACAAAGTTATCAACTTTCCAGGGCCAAATAAGCGGACAACTTCTAATTTCCCAAAAATCTGATTCCTAAAGGCCTATTTACGCTTGCAATTTTTGCTGCGATCTCATGTGTGATTTTCTTCTTTTGATAGATGTGAACGAATGAATCAGTTACTGATGTTCAAATAAGAGCTCTTATACATCAGAGCATTACGAGCAAATTTATAAATTTCGTAACTAATTTATCACTAGTTCATAGGAAAATCGCACATAAAATCCGGCGCAAGTTTAAACGTGTCTGAAGCATTCCCTGCGTGCATTATATCCGCCTTTCCGTCTTGCGTGTTCGTACGTAACTTCTTTCGATTGCGACTGTCAGATCGTGATTAAGTGTAGCATTCCATTAACCTTTTTTTGTCCGTATAGATTCTGGCACGAAAAACTGCTTCAATGCTGCCTATCGAAAACTGAGTCAAATCACTCGAAAGAGTTTGGGGGCTCCGTAATGTTTAGAAATGCATTAATTGGAGAAAAATGGTTTACATGCATGCAGGATTTTTTAATCATATCTAGAAAATTCCGAAAAAATTACCATTCAACGTCCGGTGAAATTTGCATAAGGTGTCAAACAATAGCCTCGAGAGTTTATAGTAAGCAGTATATAAACAGTATAATACAGTACAAGTACTAAAATGTTGGAATATAACTATTAGAAAGTCGGTTATAATTTGCCTCGATATAATTTGCCTCAATTAAGTCACTCCAACTATTTTGAGGTAGATTTACAAATTTTTTGATGAGTGACCTTCCTGCATTTCCAAGCCAAAGTTTTGGTCATTTATCACGTTGAATCTACCGTTTGTAGAAATATGTCAGGAACTGGAAACTTCGAGAGTTAGTATGTTACTAACTTTCCTGACGAAGGCCCTCAGGTTGAAACGTCGAGAAGTGATTTGTCGAGTATCACCTCGCCTGTATCATATTTCTACTTTGTATATTTCATGATGTTAATAACTAATTCATTCGCACTGAAAATGGCTTATAGTTAAGTCAAAACATGTTTGCTATTAAAAATTTTGTCGTTTATTTCAAATGATTAAATATAATAATTATAAGGCGTCAAATTATCAACTAGTTGTAAATCTATTAATTTAATAGTGGATATGTGTCAGTAAAGCTATTACTTAGTGGACGTGTGTCAATACTAAAATATGAATTTTTCTTATCAGCAGCATTTGCTTTCATACGTGCGTGCAGGTGGGTGTTATTAAAAACCATGCTCGTAAGTGAAAAACCCAATATAAGTGCATATAAGCCCCGTTTACACTACACTCAATTTATCGGCACGGCACGGCTAAAATGAGTATACCCGTGCCCATTTCATTCGTGCCCGGCCTTTGTTTTGGTAGCCTGAACACTATTAAAATTGACTTACACGGGTACCTATTTTAGCCGTGCCATGCCGATAAATTGAATGTAGTGTAAACGGGGCTATACGCGTAGCAAGGTGGATATAGTTTTTGGGCCAATATTCGTATACTCGTTTTTCCTCTTCTTATAGGCACAGTGGTGTAGCCAGCCTGACGATTTTGTCCCGCCATGTAAATCTCGAGTTATTATAATTATTCATTCACCAGATCACAAGAATATTACCGAGCATAGCGGGACAAATCGTCAGGCTGGCAGTATAGGAAACTAGTCGATTTAAAAAAAACAATGATCCTGAAAATGAATGTTAAAAATGCTCTCAAGTAGCTTGTTTGCGGAGCCACAGATTGAGTGGCGTTTTCGTCTCGTCGAAAGCGAAAGCACAGCGCACGTTTACATAAGTCAAAAAGTCACGGAAAAATTCTTCATGGGCTGGTAATTGGATTTTCCAGACGATATATAAAGCACGGAAGTTGCAGCTATTTGTTATTCGAGAAGTGCTTGAAAAGAGTTCATCAGGACTGAGGAAAAGAAGAACTGACATGACAAGAATTGAAGACTGAAAGCTAACGATGATGTTACAGTGGCTGATACTATTAACTCTGTTTCTTCACATTGGTTGGGCTTACAATTTGTATGATGAGATTGATGGTACGTGATGATTATACACGCTTTTCCCACATTAATGCGGAATTTTTCCAATCCATATGATTGAATAACAGAGATTGCTGCTTGATTTCTGCTGCATTTAGCCTTCAATGTCATTGTTAATAAGGACAGGTCTGGTAGTTCCACATTTTGGGTGTAAGTAGGAAAAATGCACATGACAGCTTTCGAGATAAACACTTTATCTGGGTGCATCTATTGCAAATAATAATTCATATATTAGGCTTGCTTGAAGGCCGCGTATTAACCGTATTTGTTCATAAACTCACACCACCTTAATTAACGATATTCTATCACATGAGTCGGGTGCGCATGTCGTGTGTGATTTTTCTTGACAGATTTTAACCTTTGGCGTCGCGGGGGCCCATCAGAATCAACCAACGTCGATAAAGGTATTAAGCATTATTATGCTATAATATGGTAGACATGATTATGATAAGGCTGAATTTCTAGTGAACAAATACATTATCAGTAAATGAGAATAAGCCTAAAGCGAAAAAACAGTGGTGATAATTTGTGAGATTTAAGCACATATCGACACAGTATTTGTATGAAGGCAGTTATAATTAATTGAGTCGAAACAAAATGTTTCCACATGATTTGAAGAAGTCGGGTATTTCTAGAAAAGTTAAACGTGCGTTGAAATTCTTTTCTCTACATATAACAACAACAAACTAATATAACAACCTAATGCACATCATGTGTACATTCAATTACACACAATCACAAAAGTTTATTTAGTGTAAACGTAAACACCATATTCACTTCAGAATGCATAAAAGACATCCTCGTTTTGTGGGACAATTCCCCATCTGTTAACGTCACAAATTTCAACAATCGTGTTCGACCCTTCCTGAAGACGCTAATCGCTGATGAAAAGCTCAATGTGGGAAGAGATGGCACTCATATTGGCTTTATAACATTCGCTAGTGCTGAAAAGACGAGGGTCTTGTTGAGGGTAGGGCAGAAAACGGACAAGGAAGATTTGCAAACTTGGTTGGATAATTTGAACTACAAAAAAGATCTGACGGGCCGTAATACATTCACCGGCAATGCATTCAAGCTTGCAAGTGATGTAAGTAAACTTATCAATCCTGTGAGACACTAGTGACAATGAAACAGAAAAAGGGAGAATGTGTTTTTTTGAGAATCCATCCCAATCCTAGTAAGAGGATTTCTTTATGAAGAAACAGTAATAATATACAGGCTATTTGAAATGTAACTACTTAATTGAATTTTTGGTAGTTTTGATTGAAAAATGCACTACCATACAGATTTTCGTGCTTAAATTTATCTGAACGCTTCATATTATAACGCTGATTGCAGCCTGAAGAAGCAACATTTTTCACGATTTGGTCGGTTGACTTGATAAACTCTCCCTTCTTAAATTTTCGATCACAAAGGAGTTCTCTGAAAGAAGTCCTTTAAATCATCGTGATGATGTAAGCGACGTGATTCTGTTATTCACTGACGGAGAACCCATGGCCTTGTGGGAGACTGAGAACCAAACCAGAATGGCTGGAAGATACTCGGCAGAGCTGAGGGCAAGAAAAGTGTTTATTGTTTCCTTGGCAGTGGGAGCGGCAGCAAAAAAGGATAAAGCCTGGAAACTAATCGACTCGTGGTCGGACATTATGTATAAATCAGGGTTTGATCAACTGGATGAAGTCGTGAAAAATATTGTTACCGAATCTTGTAGTATCAAACCTGGTAAATACCACTTCATACTTTTAACGTCACTCAAAACAGTCGATGCAATTTAATGCAATTCTCATAAACACAACAGCTTACTTCGTATGCATGCTATGCATTCAATATTTACGTATTGGAAACCAATTTATTTCTAAGAATTGACGGATTAAAATCGTGTATATAATTATTGTAGTTAACTAAGTTAACTACGATTATATATTGGGGTTAACTATTAGCAATTTACCCTTTTGCACAGTCTTTTTTACTTCGCTTTTCTTCGCGTGAAAAAGTGCGATAAGAGTTTAGCAAAAGAAATAAGATTTCCACATTAGTATCTCTCTCAAAGATGTCGAATTTATTTTTCTCTTTGCCAGCGCAATGCTCTCACAAAGGAGCTCGAGTGCAGTGCTAATAATTCAATACCATGGTCAGGCAGAGAAATCAATTGATTTCGAAGATTCACATGTCTATAATAAGGAATTTTAAATACTATGTATCTTATTTTTCTTTCAGTTAGTGATCTTTTCTTCCAACTGCAATTAACATTCAGGGCCTCCACAGACTAGGGATTTTGTTGTCGACAACTATTTATGATCGACAACTAAAAGTTATCGACAACTAAAAAACTTGGTCTGTCGCGCAAGTTGTCGGCAACTAAGCTTTTCGAAAAGGGGAACGGCGTAGTTGTTGACGGCCCCACTTTATGGTGTTTTTCTATAGTGTGCGAAAACGTTTGCTTTGGTTGTCGACTACTTTTAATCTCCGCGCTATTTCGATTGCTAAATCAGTATTTGAGCGCCAGTGTGTGGAATCCTTTATCGGACTTATTTAGTTGTCGATAACTTTTAGTTGTCGATCACATATAGTTGTCGATACCCAAATTTCCAGTCTATGGAGGCCCTCAGTAATTTTCAGTTTGGTTATCATTCAACATTCGGGTCAATACTAATGGTACCTATTACACACATATCCTTTTTTTATCATATTCTAAAAATTTTCTATTTTATTTCATTTTAAACAGTGGAATGTGCTTGTAAATACAATATTTCAACAGAACAGTTCACCAAGCCGGGTGAAAATACAATTTTAATTCCTTGGAAGAAACCTGAATTGGGGTGCGATCGGCATGTCGATGTAGAAAAGGTTGTGAGCCCACCTGGTGCACGAAGTCCACAACATTTCGGAGTTGGCAGACACGAAATCATGTACACTTTCACGTATTTGAACAAGAAGAAGTCGGTCAGCACCAGTTGCCCAGTTATTATCAAAGTTGGCGGTAAGTAAATTGAAATGAAAAATTGTAAGTAATAAGATATGTTCCAATTAATACCAACGCCGCAATTTTTCACCTTTTTAGCCTGTGAATGTCCGAGTACACAAACAGTGCAAGCTAGAGTAAACGTTGGTCATACGAAAGTCTCCGTTAGCTGGTCGGAACCTGTTCCCACATGTCCAACTGAGGCAGATGCAGACAATCCACAACCCTCGGGAGAGTTTTCTGTTGGTGAACACAAGGTTACTTACCAGTATACCCACGAAACCGAACTTCAAAGCTTTAAGATGCAATGTCATGTAAATATTGTTGTCAAAGGTATGGTATTACTGGACCCGAAAATTGAAAGATGATGTTCAGTCAGTATAATGTGAAGAAATGCTTTGTATACAATTAAACGACTGTGCTATTAAAGTACGACAAATTGTCCGCATATTAAACACGACAAAGATTCAGTGGTATAGTTTTTATGGCAAACATAATTCATAAATTCACGACGTGTCTTAGGAAAATAAATATTTGAAGATTCACAAAATCTCATCACGCTTACATTTTAGGAGAGTATTGCGGTGAAAAAGTCTATGATCCTGACACTAACATTTGCTGCTGTGGTACGCCATATGCGAGAAAATCTGGTTACAAGTGTTGTGGCAACAAATACTACAATCCTTGCAGCACCATTTGCTGCCAAGATACAAGTCTCGTGTCTGTTGGAGGACATTGTCCTTAATGAAACTGGTATGAAAGATTTCTTGCTTGTGTTTATAGATAATAAGATTAGTATTAACTGGGTGTCAGATACACAAATAGTCATACATTGATGGTAATTGCATTTTGTTATATTGGAGTAAAACAGCTAACAATTTATAATTATGGGAGGTACGGTACATAATGGTGTAACAATAAATTAACTCATCTTTGACTCTTTTCGTGTCGAGGTGTTTTCTTATATGCTATACTCTTACGAAGTTGCGGATATGAAATTAGCCATTTCCCAATCGAACAGAGTACTGGGTCTAGTCGCGAACCGCAAAGCATCTATGGACTGTTTGGAGAGACAAATGTAAACATTGGATTGGGAAATGGCTAATTGAATTGATACACTTCAGGCCTGTTTACACTTGCAATTTTTGCTGCGATTTTATTCTTTTGCTAGATGTAAACGAGTGAATTAGTTATTGATGTTCAAATAAGAGCTCTTGTTATATAGGTTCTGTGTATTTTAAATGTGATTGGTTCATTCATAGTCACAATGCTTCAAATGAATGCAATGTTTCCCGCCAGGGAAACAAGTGAAAAATTGTTGCCCGCTTCTTGTCATAACAAAGTAAAGAGGGTATTTTTAAAATGTTTTTGTTCCTATATAACAAAACACTTGTTGTGTACACTATCTCGGGAAATAGTGAGTTTTGTTTTTCCTCGAGTTTCATTCAGACTCTTGGGAAACAACATTCAGACTCTTGGGAAAACAAAACTCACTATTTCCCTCGGGAGCATACATTAAGTTTATATTATACATCAGAGCATTCGTAGCTAATTACTTGTTCACATCAAGCAAAAAAAGAAAATCGCGCATAATATCGCAACAAGTTTGGAACTGTAAACGAACCTTTTACTTGGAGACTGATATGACGCAATTGGCGAAATATCTTATAAATTTTCGCTCGGGAAACTTTTTTTGCAGAATGAATTAATAAACAATTTCGCATTTGCCTTATCGCAGGATATCGGAATAATTTATAGCTTTTTTTGTCAGTGTTATCTGCGAAAAGCTGACTTTGCTCTGTATATTTCTGATTTAATGTCTAGCCTTACGCATGCATGCCATAATTCTTAATTATATGGGCTAAAATAATTCATTTTACTCATTTTTAGTTATTTAAACTTTAAGTCTGATAAAACATGCCGCCTGTATTAAAACAATTTGCCGTCACAATATCGATTATGTATATCACACTTAGTCGACAATAGACAAACAACAGCTTGAGATGTCAGCTGGGCAGATAGTCACGAAAATTAAAGCTTTAAATATCAATCGGTCGTTCCAAGTTCCAACCAGAAAGCTGTAAAGATTGGAGAACCCTTTTTTCCGCATTGTAAACAAATCATGACCTGAAAGGTAACCGTGGTTCACCATGCATAAACATGTGAGTACTGTAAAAATATTATGAATTGTCATAAATGTCTTTTCTTAATACGCCGATTTATAACTGTAGAGTATAAAATGGTCTGTGAATGGGTTTTAACGAATTCGTAGAAGGTGCGTTGTACATATGCATTGTCTATAAAAAAATTAGAACCAAATTTGGCGTGTATTTACGCAGAACATATGTGACAAAATTGGCTGATTTTTACTCCATTGTTAGGTTTAGTATTAGACAATCGTAATTTTGATTTCGAAATTTCCATTGTTAGGTTTAGTATTAGACAATCGTAATTTTGATTTCGAAATTTCCAAGGCAAGTTATAATTTGCAGTTTTAATCCAACTATAGTCTGCAGAATTTAATTCCTGGTACCTCAACGCCCCCCCCCCCTTTTTGAGTATCAATCCAACACGGGGAGAAAGAAAAATAGAAAAAACGTTTATAGAACGGGTGCTCTTTGCAAATTTTGTAAAATCTACCTTCACTGGTCGTGGCTGATGTTGTACAATCTGCTGACCTTATCACTTTTAATAAAGTTTAACTATAGCTAACCGACGATGTCAATGAGAAGGAATAATTATTAAAATCTCCATCGAAAACAAGTGATCTTATCATCCATTGATTTTCTCGTATATTCTCATTGGTCGAAACCCTACGGAAAACTTTTTGTATCTTTCTGTCTACAAGTTAAATATCGTATTTGTTTATGCATGCAGATGTGAAATAGTCATCCTAGCTGTACTTGCATGCCCGTAAACTTTTCAGCGGTACTTCGCGTGAGATGGAAAAGAGGGGGAAATTTTTAAATGCGAAGAAGAATGTACAAGAGTCTTCTTCTTTAAATTATATTACCAAACATCTAATATCGATTTACATAAATAAAGTTAATGGCTGAATCAGCTAAATATACAGAAACGAATAATGATATATCGGAGTGGTGCATGGGAGCAATATGCAATGCAGATATAGTCGATGCATATACTATAAAGTCATATAAAACCAGCTTCTGCTTTCAATACAACGAAGTGTCATCACAATATCGATTTGTCAACCACAACTTAAGCCTGCCGCATACGAGAGCTATCAGCTGAGCTAACGATCTCACGAGGCAGTTAGCTCAGCCCGAAAACCATCCACACACGTGAGAAATTTGCCTCTCGAGGCGAGTTCCTCGCGAAAAACTATCCGCACACTAAATTAACTCTTTAGCTCAGCTAATAGCTCACGTGTGCGGTGGGTTTTAGCTAATAATATATAGACATGCAAACACGTTGAGAATTCAGCTGCAAAACGTCGTGTCGTCACGATATCCGTTATGTTAATCGCAATCTAGTCAACAATAGACAAACACATTGAGATGTCAGCTGGGGAACTCAAAGCGCTTTGAATGTTATTCCGCCGTTCCACCCAGAAAGCTGAAGATTGTTGATCTTAGTTTTTTTTCCTAATTATAAGCGAACGTCAAAGATAATCGTGGTTCAAAATATACAGGTACAAGTAGGGTAGAAATAGATATAGGTGGACCCTATCTCTACGTTTGCATGCTGCACAAAGTATAGTAATAGACAATCGTAATTTTGAGTTTGAAATTTCTAAGTTACAATTTGCAGTTTTGATCCAACGATAGTCTTCAGAATTTAATTCCTCGTACCTCATCGTCCCCCTTTTTGAGTATCAACGCAAAACGGGGAGAAAGAAAAATACAAAAAACGTTTCTGGAAAGGGTAGTCTTTGCAAATTTTGTAAAATTTACCTTTACTGCTGGTGGCTTATGTTGTTCTGCTAGTGTTAACAGTAAATACAATGGTCTTCTTTGAGTTGCCCCGGGCTTTTGGAGTTCGCACACCGCAGTATAGTCGAATTAATTCGACTGCGAGGCTTCCATATAAGTATAGTTCATGAGAGAATTTAAATTCATTTTACAATTTATTTAATATGAATAAAAAATGGGGTGATAAAACTTATTAAGCTTGCCGATTAGCACTTTATCTATTGTTGAATTGCATTTGACGGGATCAAAATGCGACGCAAATCCCAGCCCTTTACCTAGTTTGAACGCGCGCATGCATTTAGCTAATTTAAAATCATGGACGTGGTAAACTTCAGTAGCTACCACACTTGGTAAACGTGGACACCGCTCCCCGTCGTTCGAAGATTAGAATCTTTTAGACTGCTTTAGACTGCTAAGTTTGTCGTCATCATATAACTGGAAAGTGTATACATAGTTTTCCACTATACAATCGAATCGAAGGACGAATGCACCAGGCCGGTTGTTTCATGCATACTAAACATACTAAGTTCTTTCCCTTTATTCACCTAGCTTTTTCAAATAATTATTACATTATATATAATGTAGGATTCAGACTTTAGCGTGGGTGTATATAGCTACGTGCGTATGAAAAACGCCTAAGTAGAAGGCAGTCCTTATCAAGTGCTTTGTTTGTTGTCTATACTCAAATTGTAAGGCTTCTTTGAGAAGAGCATTAATTTTTGTAGTTTAAATTTTCCGTGCGTGCGGACATTTTTGCTTGAGATTAGTCAGTAATTAGACTAGACGGTTTGATTATTATACCAGCTATTTGCACTTCAGTATAATACTTTATTAGGATGAGGGCCGAGCTAAAGCAACAGAAACCAATTATATTTGGCAATTATAAAGAAGTTCTGCAGACCTTAATAATGTTTTACTTTGCTGCAAACCTTGTTTTCGGAGAGAAAGAAGAGGAATCTGAATTTTGTAAAACGGGATGGTCGGAATTCGTCAAAGATAGAAAGGAGTGGGAACACGAATGTTTACAGGAAGATATTATAAAAATATCTCCGTGTTGTAAGGAGACAGCTGATTATCTCGAAGACAGATATGAAAATTACATAAATTTGTGCCCTATCATTGGTAAGATTTCTATCGCTTTTGGTATTAAGTGGTGGGACTTTAGGTGCTGTTGATAGACTTTTATATGTATACACTATTATACACTTTTATTATTACTATACTACTGTGTTGAAGTTACCATTTTTGTTCTAGAATATTTTCATTGATGGATACGATTAAACCACCTTAACTATGTGAACTAGAACGTGCCTATTTACCCTACAGTTTCCCATCAATCATCATAAACTGCATTGTTTAGCTAGCTATATAAATGCAAACTCCAGAAACAGTCTGAGTAGAAGAGGTAAAGGGGAAGTTGTTTGGCAACAAAAACCCTCTCTTTTCGTTTATGTTATTTTCAGTTGGATAGATTTTTCCATTCAAAATTGAATGACAATCTGGCATTAATTTGGCGAAATATAATTGACACTCACTGAGTCGTATAAGACTTTTCGGAATGTGTACATCGCCTATATAGTACATTATATAGAGCGATAAGCCCAGAAAAGAGAGTGGATGCTGACAATGCATTTCAAGTCGCGTTTTATCAATAATCAAGCCCCGTTTACACACTCACAGTTAGTCTGGTATAACTTGATCTTTGATTTCTCGAATCGGTGCAAATTAAGCCCGGGATTACTTTACACTACCTGTACGAGGTGGATTAAATTACGCGGATTATTTTAAAATGTCCTAAAGTGGTCATGTAAACGAAGATATGGATCTAGTTAAACGAGTTCAATTTACGTTCGTACCGCAAAAAAGAGGGTGTATTGAAAACGGAAATGAAATATACATGACTGTTATGTCCTCAAACGACTGAATTGACCAATTGGAGCAAAGGAATGGCAGAAACTTTTAGAAACTGTTGGTCGTCTGTGCATGCATGATACCAAGACACGTACGTTCCACGGTACTAGTTCTCGTGGAGCATCAAACAGCTAAAAGCATTCATTTTTTGTTAGGGCGTGAGTGTGTTTGTAATTTCCAAGAGAGAGAAATAGACCGCATTGCGCACGGTAACACGTCAGACTCATTGTCGTGGACCAAACCAAATATTTCATGTTCGCAAAAGTTCCAAATCAATCATCAGCAAGTTGAACCAAACGTAAAATCACCGCACAGATTTCCTATTGGTTTGAATAAAATCAAAAATATCTTTCAACTGTATGGAGGGAAAAATCTGACGTGTACCATATTAATCTATGTTCGCTCTTGTGATAATGGTAAGCTTGGTTTACTCAATATTAATTTTAAAACTATTCCCGAGCCACTGCGCAGCACCGTGCGATGGTACTAAATCCGCTCGGAGATTAGGAATTACTCGCGGGTAATTATGCGTATGCGTAACTTCAAAAAGGGTTTTTAAACGTAAATGTATATTTTAATGTAAACTGTCGCTTCAAAATCAAAGTTTAGTACCATTTTGATGTTTTACCGAAGACCCAAATGTTGAAATTTTAACAGTTACCTAAGTTGGTTCTATACAATTAGGCTCTACAGGGTGTATAAAAAAAATGACCCGAATGTAAAATTTTCGTTTTTCAGGATATTTTGCAGAATTTGGCAATTTTTTTTGTTCGTAAAGATAGTTAGGACTTATCTGCATGGTATACCTAGGCCAAGTTTGGTTTTTCATTAACAAAATTATGTTACCGGGGGGGGGGGGTGGTTCCTCTCCACTGATATTGAGAGGGCTTGCGCGCGAAAATGTGAAGCTGAAATTGAAATATTATTTAGCTGTTTAAAAGTAGAAAAGCTTTTTAATAAACTGTCAAAGTTTCAGGAAAAATAATGCATACTGGGAGCAACGCGCGACCCCTAAAGGTGACAAATATTTCATTGTGCGCAGTGGATTAAATGCATCGTTGATTTTAGCGTGACCGATCTCATGCAAGGCTGGGCAAATGAATAAATTAAAGCAAGAAACTGAACACAAAAACAAAGCGATTTATTCGTGACGTTATCCTCAGCATGTCCATCATTTCATTCTAAGCAAACTGCGGCTCGTCTGAGCATAGTAAACACTGAACATCGAACCATTTGTCTGTCCATTCGCCTAGATTTGACGGTGGTTGCGTAGGCGATTTGAAAGAAAGAATTTCAAACGAAATGGAGAATTTGAGGCAGGGCAGACAAATGGTTCGCCGTTCAGTGTTTACCATGCTCAGACGAGCCGCAGTTTGCTTAGAAAGAAATGGTGGTAATGTTGAGGATTAACATCAAGAATAAAAATCTTGTTATTAAATCGCTTCGTCTTTTTGTTCAGTTCTCGCTTTAATTTATTCATTTGCCCAGCCTTGCATGAGATCGGTCACGCGAAAATCAACGATGCATTTCATCCACTGCGCACAATGAAATATTTGTCACCTTTAGGGGTTGCGCGTTGCTTACAGTATGCATTATTTCTCCTGAAACTTTGACAGTTTATTAAAAAGCTTTCCTACTTTTAGACAGCTAAATAATATCTCAATTTCAGCTTCACATTTTCGCGCGCAAGCCCTCTCAATATCAGTGGAAAGGAACCACCCCCCCGGTACCATAATTTTGTTAATGAAAAACCAAACTTGGCCTAGGTATACCAGATAAGTCCTAACTATCTCTACGAACACAAAAATTTGCCAAATTCTGCAAAATATCCCGAAAAACGAAAATTTCACATTTTGGACATTTTTTTATACACCCTGTATAAACGCCTGTAGTAAACGGGTGACATCATTTCGATGTTGTGACAATATTTTGTATCAAATGATAAAAATATTGAGTCATTCTATAATATAAATTTATAGTTATAGCTAATCTAAGCTCAGATTATTTTCATGGTTGAAAATGGCGAGGGGTGCTGCATGCATATATTTCTAGTCACGTAATTGTATGCCGGTCGTGGATTTAAAATCTTAACTTATGCATTATTTGTGTCAAAAATCGTGTTAATTGTAAACAAGTTCTATTCTGCATGTTTAGAAACGGAAGAAATGGATGAGAAAAATGGCAAAGAACCAGGTAAAACTAATATGACTATGAACAAAAGTAATTTCAAAAGTAAAACGTCGTATAACGGGGACTATTTCCTTTTTTTTTAATTAAATGAAACGCTAAATAAGCGTTTCATTTAATTACCTCCAGAATGGCGAATACCTTTCATCGTATCATTTGTATTTTGACTTTTCCCTCAAATTCAAACACTATACAAAAGTGGTCCCTGGGGCATAGGACATCCCAGACTTTCCTAATGTGTGTCCCCGCAGATCGTGTGAATCCTTAAGGTCAATCGTGACCTTATAAGGTATTACTGAAAAATAACGCTGTTAAAAGGCAGTGCCCAGTGTGCCATCAATCAGCCACTCGAAAATCATTATTGCAGTTAGTAATAAGTAATTTGAATTTACTCGATGCTACTTTGCGAACTTTCCCCCAAAAACCTTCCCCATATAAAACGCCTGTTCCTGCTACCAACTTTATAATGAATAATATAATTATGCATAGACAAAGAACTCTCTTTTCCAAAATCATTGCATTGCCGCGAAAATATTTTGTTACCAAAATACTGTGTGGGGAAATTTTTCGTTCAAAATTTTGTACAAGCTGAAATTAACGTTTTCTCTTGAAAAACCACCCCAATCACATATTGGATGAAATGCCCCAAAACCTCGGAACCAGAAATGGGCCAAATTGATACTTGAAACTGACTTTAATTATACGCCACACATCACACTAAATAGGCGCTTCGTACAATGTTTCAGGGTGCAAAAAAGACATCCTGGTTCTTTGGTACAATTCGATACCTGTTAGCTTTAAATTCCTTTCCGTTGTTAAAAAAGTCCTGAAGACGTTTGTCGGAAGTAAAAAGCTTTGCGTGGAAGAACAAGGCACTCAAATTGGTTTCATCACCCTCTCCAACGACAACCAAACAAGAAAATTATTAAAAGTTGGGGAAATCAAGAACAAAACATTGCTGACCCAGTGGTTTGATAGTTTTGACTATGAGAATGACTCTTTCACAAAACTTGAGCTTGCAAAGAATGTAAGTTAATCCTATCTCTGCGTGTTAGAAAAATTGGTGTGGTTATAAATTGGGCCATTGAAATTAGGGTACGTTTTTCACAAGATATGAAGACCATTAAAAAGGACGTTGCCTGTATGTTTTAGGCTAGTCACGTTAGCGCTAGGTGCATAACGTGTATGAGTTTTCCCATTTTGCGCCAGCGCTTTACCAAAAAATGACCTTTAAAGACCGCTCATGATCATCAGCTTTGTAAATAAAGAGTGATGATGGGAAGTACTGCTATACTGTTACCATGATTAAAGTAGTATGAAAAATACCAAATTTCTTACATTATTTTTCGTTCTCTTGTAAATAAACGCTAAAATATGAAAAAATGAACTAAACAGCGGTCATCTTGGATCAAATTTTGAAAAGATATAACTTTTGGGTCAAAGATTATCGCTTAATGGGTTCGCTTCAAACAACATGCATGGTGATCTATATTGCTCAAAGAAAAATCTTTTATCGAGTTATATTAAAGAAACAAAGTTTAGTTAATACACAGCATATGTGCAATAAAAAATTTGCAATGAGTTACTAAAGATTACAAACGAAGAATGAAATTTTTTCAGTGCCAAATTAGTTCACATGCAAGCGATCACACATCTCATTAACACAAACTTCCTATAAAGTTCATTTGATGTTAGCAATGGTATCTCGCACGAAGTCAGATCTGGTATTTTTACCTGGATAAAAAAATGTAATATTATTGCGAATTCAATCACAGACAAAATTATATTATATCTAACGTATTGAACTTTTTTCTCAAAGGTTTTTAACGTGAGCAGTCCCAAAAATTTCCGTCCAGAGGTGGAGGATGTTATTTTGTTGTTAATCGGTGGATCTCACAATGCCTCGGAAAATCAAACAAAGCTAGTAGATGAATACACCAGAATCCTAAAGAAGAGGAATATCACTATTGTTGGCTTAGTGGTCGGGAGTGAAGATGAGATCAAAATGTTGAAACCGTATGTCGAGCGCTGGCCGTCAACAGAGCTTCTGTTTGAGTCACGCTTTGAAGGGTTGGACAAAGTTGTGAATCAAATAGTTAATGCTTTGTGTGAGACACCAGGTAAGTAAAAATAAGACGTTAATTATACACAAAGCTTGCGGAGTGACAAAAGCAAGCCATTTTTTTTCGGTGCCACAGGCTACAGAGAACTATATTTTAAATGAATTTCTATTAATCGCAAAAAAACAACAATAAAAATGTAAGAACATAACTCGCATAAATGACTCTAGTGTCTGTTCCATGTTTTTCGGATCGCTTATCAAAATTCAGCATTGACAACCCACAACCTTATCACGGAATAACCATGATAACATAAAATGAGTTGAAATGGATTTCTATCGTTGTGGTATTTGTTTCGAATTTTTTGCCAAATTCATGCAAAGATTATTGAACCATATTGAAAGGATTCATCAAAATGAACCGAATTATAAAACGGTGGTTAAGTTCAAAATAAAAACCAAGTCTATCGTTTTATTCAAGAAGAAAACTAAATGTTTTTAACCTTAATACAAAGACACTGCTTACAACTACATATTCAGTGCATAATATTCAAGTTGACTCATTCAAGAGAAATATAAGAGTGTTATTTTACTTTGACTTACCCATCGTTTAAGCTAAATGGGCTTGAAACAACCGGCTGCTGCGCTGCAAAATGGTGCTTATCCGGCACTTGTTTTTTTAACACTTTTTCTGTCGCTGAAACTCCTCGTGTTCTTACTCCAGAATAGTGCTGTTTTAGCACTTATAATTTTAACACTTTTTCTGGTGCTGCACCTGTCCTCCTAGTGCGGGTGCTAATTCAATTATCCCAAAGTGGTGTTAGATAATCGTAGTGCTGAATTGACTCCTTTACAAAATGTTAGAGTCAAATAATCTCCATATTATAGGTATCAAAATAGCAGTTTTTATTCAACGCCGCCATTAGGGGATGATTCAACTAAAGTCTTGGCGCTAATTTAGCTCTCTGAAATTAATAGTATGGGTTTTAGCTATGCAAAATGTAGTTAACGAGTTTTATACAACCACCCTGTGAATCGCAGTGTTTAACTTCTCCCTTTTTTTGTGACATAGGACACACTTTATTTCTTCAGGAGAATGTAAGTGTAGAGATGGCGACATTTATAAGTTTACTACATACGTCGGGCGCTACGAAAACAATGGGTTGGTGCATTGGCCAGTACCCGAGGTCACGTGCTCTGAATATGAAGGTGGCCAGATCGATCCACCTGGCGTCAGTTCCCCTGCGATTTTCTCGCTGGGCAAGCACGTGATCACATTTCTATTCTCGCATAAACACTATGGTCAGATTGTTGAATTCAAATGTTTTGTCCATTTCACTGTTGCCCGTAAGTGAAGTTTACAGTAACTATCTGTCGTTTTTGATTCACGGATACTCTCTAGGAGGGTTTACATTCTTTATTATCTCAACCAACCTACTTTGCGCGCTCAGTATTAAAAACTTGTTTATCTGGTTATTGTACTAGCCAACAATTAATTGGCTATTCGTGCACACGTGAGTCGTCTCATTGAGACCTTTGATCGCATTAACTATACTCATATATTCACGCCGTAACCCCAGTTGATGCGTCAAACGTCATCCGTTTCAACGGGGGTCGTTTCCACAGTGTGAGGAATGTACGAAATGACAAAATTTATATATGAAATATTACGTTTTTAAATTTATAACAAAATTGTTTGAAAGTTCATAATTCCATAAGAAGAGCATTCAGCTCCATGTCCATTTTTTTCTGTAAACACTGCGCGCTAGTATTTTTATTCCCTGATGAAGACACCAGACCATGTCACCAGAGTGTCGAAATTTAACGATGGGAATGTAATATTTGTGTGGTGATTACTTTCATTAATATAACCAGAGAAACAAAAATTGCAATGGATTATTATTTTACCTTGTTGATGACACTTGTTGTGAACTTTTTAAGTTCAATTCGTTGTGTATTAGGTTGTCATTGTCCATGCAATCAAACAGTTAATGCTCAAGTCCAAGGAGATTGGCCGGCCAGGGCCATAGTCAGTTGGTCAGAACCTAAGCCAAGATGTCCGACCACGCCAAGTCCAGGCAATCCGAGAAGAAACGATGATTTGCTCTCTGTTGGTAATTACATGCTATACTACAACTATACACACAGCAGCAAAAATCAAACATTTAGTGTCCAATGTCATGTAAGAATTTTTGTGAGAGGTATGTGGTTTTGGTTGTTTTGTAAGTCTAATAAATCGAATGTATGCGAACTATTGCTCTGCGAGTGGAATTCCAGCTTTATATTCTTCAATGATAGTTCAATGATATGTAGCCTAATGCTTTATTTTAGATGCATCGAAATGTCAAGAAAAAATTGACATAGTTTTTGTGCTGGACAGATCTGGGAGCATTAACCCTGGGAATTATCGACAAATGCAAAGATTCGTAAAATATGTGGCAAGTAAACTAAATGTCGGTGTAAGAAATGATGCAGGTGACGTAATAGGTCAAGGCGCTATAGTTTCCTTTAGCGAAAGTGCAGAAATTGAGATCTTACTAAGTGAAAGTGCAACACCAGGAGCATTCGATAGAGCGGTGGACGCTATGGAAGGACCTTTACCAGGCGGGCGTACATATACAACTTTAGGCCTAGAGTTAGCTGACAGATACGTGGTTCAAAAAACTGGTGGATATCGAGATGACGATGACGTAAAACATATATTAATAGTGATAACAGATGGAGAGCAAACAAAAGGAAGGGGTTATGTTCCCGTGAAAGAGGCTATAAAACCCTTCTTTGACAGAAATATGGATGTATTTGCAGTCGGTGTAGGATTGGATAAAGATGAAGCTAAACAAGAAATCCAAGACATGGTCAGGTCTAACGCAAATGCATTTTTCGCTACAAGCTTTACTGATTTATTAATTCAAGCGAATCACATCCTCCTTAAATTTTGTCCAGGTATTGTAATTTCGTGTCGAAATGTTGTACAATTACCTAAGCACTAAAGAAATTAACATATTCATATTTTTTCCTTTCTTTCAGTTTGTGGGACGAAAAGAGATGACTGCCATCCAGCATTAGCCACCTGCACTGACATAGAGCTAGCGAAATACAAGTGCAGGTGCATCGAAGGATACATTGGAGATGGAAAAACATGTGTTGGTACGTGATTCATTTTCTACTATGCGTAGTTCTTTAATACGCTATTATTAACATTTTGTGGGTATTGTCGTCCCTGATTGGTCAGAAAACAACAGTTATTTCTTAATATTCTGTAATTAATATGTAATTTCAGCTGCTGACGTGCTCAGCGTCCAATAATTATTTTTTTGGATCGAACTTGCACCCAAAAAGCATCATTGACTCTCTCATGCCCAGACCTTGGCGCGCCACCAACTTGAATCCAAAAGAGCGCGAAAATAAAATAAACATTAATAAAATAAAATAAGCATTAATGAGCTTCGTTTCATTGTTTTAATCTCTTTAAATGTGTAATAAAACAATTATTGGATTCGGCTTTTGCATGATATCATGCTCAGCCTCATCCAATAATTGTTTATAGTCGTAATCGCTTTTTATTTATGTTGATTGACGTGAACGCAAAAACAGTTAGGGCTGCTAGCTCTGGTGTATATATGATGAAGTGCGATCATTTAATTTGGACATTCGTTTGTAGAATAGAATATATTGCCATCAAAGACGGCAGCAAATATTGTAAGATACAGTATAAATATTAAGTCCTGTACGTATACCTAGAAAACTCTTACAAGGCTCACAAATTTTGCTTATTGAAGACCCCCATCTGACATTTTTCAGTCTAATAGTTTCACAAATTTAAGTACATATATTTCTCTTATTTATTTTTCCGGAGTACAGCTAATTGCAAAAATCTGTAATCACCGACACGGTGCAAAAATCTGTAATCACAGTGCAATTTTTTGTAATCATTCCGAACCAATCAATATATATATTATTAATAAGTAATAGCATGGTTTCTCGTGAATTTTTGATATAACACGCACTCGTGACACCACATATTCATATATTCATGTTAACAGACCTGTATAAAAGACAATGGATTTGAAAATAAATTAATCTTCCACAACATGAATATATGAATAATTATATGAATATGTGCCCGCCTCCAATTATCGTCTCCCGTACGCCACTGTTTTCACGTAATAATTGCCTCGAATAGTGGAGACCGATACACTATATTTGTAATAAAAAGACGAATGTTTTCTTAAAAGTTATTTAAAAATTCAATGTAAAAACTCACTTAGTGAATCAAGACTTTTTTAATTTGTTAAGCCTGTGAGTGTTCTAGTGCACAAAGAGTAAGAGTTAAAGTGAATATCGGCCGAACAAATGCTTCCGTCAGTTGGTTGGAGCCTAAACCTACTTGCCCGACAACGCCAAACCCAAACAATACGAGGCACACACGTGGACAGTTCCCTGTCGGTAACTACAAGATCATTTATCAATACACCCACACCACCGAATCTAAAAGTTTTAAGCTACAATGTGATGTGAACATTGTTGTCACAGGTATGACTAGAGAATAATTATTACGAATGGCTTTAGACTATTTCACAATGTTATAGAAAGCAGGCGCATATCACTACTCATACGCATGCAATGCTGTATTTTGGACTGTTGTTTGGTCAGTCAGACTTTAAGGAAACGTAACGCCCTAATTTGGCTGTGAGGCTAGATGCAGGTTGCGTAAATGAGATTATGTTTGATGGGGGCATGGTGAAAATTCAACTAGTGATAACACCATCTATATGTATCACGAAAAATAAAATAGACATTTTCCCTTTTAGCTTTCAAGCGCGCAATGCGTGACGGTAGTTGATTATCAAGGTCAATTTGTGTTGCGATTTCGCCATGTTTAGGGGCGATTTAGTTTAACAAATATGCAAAAAGAATCGGCAAGGTTTTCTTACAAACAAAATCGCTTTTAAGCAGACCGATATCACAACTCAAAATTGCTTGATAATCAAATATCGTCACGTATTGCGAGCTTAAAGGCTAAAAGAGAAAGGTTTAAATCATTTATTAAAATTCTCACACGGCCAGTGACGCTTGCCTGAAGCGCGTCCAACATGATTTTTATCCCCTCTTTTACGTGAATTGGAATTTGAAATATTCAAATTGATCTAAAGAAAACACATGCATCTTATAGAGATATGCCAGACGAGCCTTACTTTAGAGAATTGTAGGCAGCATGTGAATCATGCTGTGATCGTTATCGTTTGTAAATCCCATGCCTTTTTTAGGGAGGTATTGCGGCAAAAGAACCTATGACCCAGCCTCTCACAATTGCTGCCGTGGTAAGACCTACCGTAAGAAATCTGGTTACAAGTGTTGTGGCAAAAATTACTACAACCCTGCTGGTCTTTTATGCTGCCGAGACGCCAGTATCGTATCTGTTGGAAAAAAATGTCCTGTTTAAAAACATATTTACGTTTGAAATATGGCTTCGAAACTTCGCATGTCTTTGTTCGACTGTAATAATATTAGTATTTTGTTGTAATAAGACTATACTTGTAGATAATGCAAGCAGCAACGTTTTAATGGTAATTCATGCCATAACATTGGGTGTAACATTAACTCATACAGAACGGTCCAGAAAAAAACAGACGAAAACTGCGGGTTAACCTTGGTCAAACCTCGGTCTGATCGCGGTTTAACCGAGGTCAGACCGAAGTCCTACCGCGGTGAGACGGAGGTTAAAGCTCGACTTAACTCGGTCTAACAGACACTTCTAAAGATTTTTTCGATTTGTTGTCCTTCTGAGCTTTTCGTAAGATTTTTGTCTGAAGCGAACGGCCACTGGTAAGGTAGTTTTTCCCTTGCGGTCGTCTGCGGTTTCCATCGGTAAACCGCAACCAAACCGCAACCGAAGTACCGAACCGCAACAAAACCGCAACCGAACCGCAACCGCAGTGTTAGGTTATTTCTGGAGAGTACTGTAGACGTGTATTACATACCACTTATTAACCGAATTTGGGGTCCGTACTAGGAAAATATCAGACCGAGGTCTTGAGTACAGTACGTACATAAAAGAACGAGGTCTGATATTTTTCCAGTACGGACCGAACGTATTCGGTTAATAAGGGGTTTATTATATGGCTATACAGTATTTAGTTTATTTATTTATACAATGCGCTGCAGCATTCTTGCCAGCTGTTTTGCCAGCCAGTCACCAAGCAAGCACTAAAGTGGCTTCCAAAACTTTGTTTTTTACTCGTTAAAAAAGAATGATACAGTAATATAAACAAAAATCAAAGATGAATAAATATAATATTCACATGTAACAAATAATGCTCTTCTTCGTCCATTCTCCGTCATATTTTTCGTGTCAAAAATAGAAGTGCAATCTTGTTTTTGTTCAAAAATATGAGAATTGGACCATTACTACAGCAACGGTCTAATACTGGGGGATTCCAGACCGGCAAAGAACCAATCAGCGCACGCCATTTTAGTCACGAGACCGCGTGCCATATGATAAATGTTTTTATTATATATTAATTGAAACTTGTGTGATGTTGAGTGTGGAATGTTGTAGCTTAAGTCAAGGTCTATAGATAGGGTCGAGAAACGGAAATAACACCCTGATCTAATATGAAATCTAACTGTCAAAATATTTTGAAAGCCATCCTACCCTGAAATACATGCAGACGTTGAAAACGAAATATGAGGCCTGGGAATGCATGATAAGTAATCATTATTATATAGCCGTCGTTGTGTTGTCGCTGATCGTGCTCAAAGTATTTTAAAAAAGCAATATATTAAAATATACTAGGTTACCTGCAAGGTAGGGATTGCTGCGAGCATTTGAGGGTCCAAGTAAATTGTTATATGAAATATTAGTAAACTAAATCCGCTTTAACTAATAGCAATAGCAGGTTTAAAACACGTAAAGTGAACCTCTATTGAGCGTTAACTCGCTGGGGCTGTACATGAATTTATACCTGTTAGGGAGAACGCTGGCAATGACGTCATTATAGGTCAATATATACTATGTAATGTAGTTCGTATGAAAAACATCGTTGTGTAGTTCAACTGTTCAAGTTCTAACTTTTATCTCGAAATTGTTTTGAAATAGGCTGCTGGTTTATATTATGATTTCGCGAGTAAATTTATTAAGCAAAAAGATATATGTTCAACAAAGTATTTGCTGCCAAAAGGATTTGTAGATTGTAGCAAAAACGAATCGTCTGAAAATAGCCATTTTTCAATGTCATAAATACCAATTTCTACGATGTTGGATAGAGATACGAGTTGCGGCTCGTTGAAGTCAAAGTCTTTAGAAGCAGCTAGTTTTCAAAGTATTTTAATATACGAATCACGACAGGAGTATTAAGAATAATAGTAATATTACGCAGAATTTTGCGCGCGTAGCGACATTTTCCACTGCAACAAAGTTGACAGCATTGTACTTTCCAGTTTCCGCGCGGAAAATATTGTTCGGGAAAAATTCCGCCTAGCGAAAATACAGGCCCTAAGCAGTAGCGCGTGTTTAACAAAATAGAACATTTTTTGGTAACATTGAAATATGTTATTTGTCTTGTTGTATGAGTCCACGTAAATGTTTGGCTTCATGTGAAGAGTGACAAAACATCATTTGATACTTTGATTTTGAACTTTGAACGCGCTCGAGAAGACGTGTAATCAGAAACCACGCGAAGATCCGGTAAAAGTGTTATAAAGTTTTTTTTTATTTTCTATACGCGAGGTAGGAGATCTTTTATATAGGTTTTACTAAAGTTCAATAATGTTCTCTTCTTTCTCCGCTCTTCTCTTCAAATTGTCGATCTTCGTCGTTTTGCGTTCTTGTCTGGTTGTCCGTTCTGTCAGGTTGAGCTTCCTAACGTTTCATATGCTTTTTACTAAGCTAGTCCACTCTCGTTTCGAGGTTCCGTCTGAAGTTCTTGTGTCCACTCTCGTGTTTAGTCCACTCTTTTGTTTAGTCCACCCTCGTGTTTAGTCCACTCTCGTGTTTAGTCTACTCTTTTGTTTAGTCCACCCTCGTGTTTAGTCCACTCTCGTGTTTAGTCCACTCTCGTGTTTAGTCCACTCTAGGTTTAGTGCACTCTTTTTTCGGGGCTCCGTCTGAAGCTCTTGTGTTTAGTCCACTGAAGGTTGGGGTGTTGTGCACGCCCTTTTATAGTAATGGTCGAGGGACATCTGCGCACGTCATCAACCAGAGTGGGCTGATCCTTATCCAACCAATCAGCGTTGTTAGTTAGAAATGTGGGTTGGCATTAGAAGCTCGTTCCAGCTCTCGTAACTTGTTTGTATAAGGCGTTGTCGCACTAGTCGAGTTGGTCTTCTGCTCAATCAATCAATACTTAAAAATGTTCACAACTTAAAATGTTTATCATCAACAAGTTGTAAAATTTACAAACAATACGTCTGTGAACAATATCTTTCAACTTAAACTATTTTCACTCTTATTTTATCGAATTAAACTTTTGATGACGTAATCTATTACATGCTTGACCGAGCAACATTTTTAACACAATTGATTGACATAAGAACTTTGCAGCTGCCTAAGGCATCCTGTTTTTAAGATAAAATTTCGCTTCGCTTGGGCTTTTAAGGTATGTAAACTTTACATGTTTACCCCAACCCACTGTTTACCTAAAAACGACAGATCGGTCAAACTGATCGACACTAAGATTAATACTACATTAATTATTCACTCAAACTGTCAAACTTGCAGAAGGAAAAATAATCGATATTTGCGAAAGACCAAAATTATATTTACCCATGCATTTTGTGGCAATAATCAATTACTCATCCATGCACGGCAGGTGATATTTCCTATTTTTATACTATTTTATTATGCATATAACTAAACATAATAAAGCCTTGCGTAACAATCCTCCTCACCTAGAATAAGCTGTCCCCAGCTTCGTGTGAGCTATAACGACTTAAGTTAACTAAATACCAGACATATATGTGTCTACAATTTCCCAACTATATTTCTTAGCTCGGCGTGGCTATCACGGGCATATTACCAAATACCTAATAACTGAGACTATACACATAGTACGTGTTGTTATTCTACGACAACACTACATAATCGATTAAACAAGATACAACTGATCTGAATATAATTGACTTATGCCTATATGTACCTCAGGGGTAATCTAACTATAATAATGATATATATATCCAACACGTGAGAATATAGCTATTTAAACCAAAATAAGTATGAAAACAAGGTGTAAAAATTCCTGTTTTCCTGAATGTATGTACCAGGGACCTAAACGAAATGATACATTTTGTAGATGCAATCAGAAAGTGTACCAAAAATTATTCAAATCTCATAAAATATCTTATCATTGTAACAGCGAAAATTGTATTCAGATTCTTGGTTGATCAACTCACATAACAGGAAATTATTATAAAGCTCTTCCGACAAAACATCTCTTCATAATAATAACCTAAACCTATTTATACGCGTCTTCATAATAATTCTTCAAAATATTTTAACTCATGCAAACAAATTTTATACGTATACTTCTTAATATAACTGAACTCATTTCATTTATTTTTAATCGTCATGCACAGCGAACCAAACTCCAAAATGTAGGTTTTCATCGAAAATATAAATACCGAGTCTACATAGAGAAAGCAAGAATGTGTCTAATATTTAGGCTTTTGGCTTTAAAAAGAATTATAATCCATTACAACAAGTTTGGGAGACCCTTGACTGTCCCGGGGGAAGAGAAAAATATATTATCAACGAATGACGCAAAACTAAAAGCGTCAGAATGAATTTTATATACTGACCCAATTAAAACATGCATGCGCTATCCTACGGCAACATGTTTAATCAGCATGCTGAGTGTACCTAAGGAATTTTAGTTGAACAGCTATGCTCTCGTGTTAAATATTATTAAACATAAACAAACAAATGACAAACATATACACGTGTAACATGAGAATGACAAAAACTTATATTATACAAATCTTAAAATGCGTCCAGTTTCATGTCCATAATACAAGCGTTCTGACCATCAGGAAGGATCCGGAAATCTCTGAGACTTTCGTACGTCTCAATAATCGTATTTCAACGACCACGGAGGCTTCCACTGGTACCTCTTTGGCTGGACATTTGACATAGCTATCACATTAGGATAGAGGGAGTACATGTCGCCAAACTCGTCTTTGACTGTAGACTGAGGGCAAAACGACTGTATTTTCAATTCTAGTTCCTGGGAAGCGTAGAGGTTGTGGACAGCTGTCTTGAAGAGACATCCAAAACGTGAAACAAAGTCTAGCGTTGCCATAAGTAGTTAAGTATGGATGAATACAGAGCGTGCGTTTCTTTCGAACCAGTCATCAGGTCACTTCAGCACCCGTTTCTAAGCAATGTTTGTAATATTGATTGTTCTGACTTCTTCTGAGTATATAGTGGACTGATTGAGTTTCCGAAAC